GGGGGAGAGAGACCAGATCTCTAGGTAATGTGTCTTGGCTGATGGTTTGGAGAAGGATCTGCTAACCGGTGTGTGCAGTTTCGGGCTTGCTTCCACCCTGCCGTGGCATGCTGGGTGTCTTCTGCACAGCCAAGGGGGTTGCAAGGAGCGCGGGGAGGTTGGAAGGGTGCAAAGGGGTGATGGGGGGGGGGAATCAGAGTCGAGGGGCGAGTGCCCTTGAATGGGACATGGCAGCCGCTGGGCAGCCTGCCAAGCTGCCTGCAACCCGGAGGCGGGGTCTCTGTGCCTGACGGAGGGGGGAAATCGACTGCCGGTTCCAGATCTGCTGTGTGTTCCTAGAGAGTCTGGCCGAAGGGCATTTCCGGACAGACGCCGAGCCTTGTGGTCTGCTCTGGGCCCAGAAGATCTGGGGAAATGGCCCCAACAGAGACAGGTTCTAGACCTTTGGCAGATCTGTTCCCTGCTGGCAAGGTTAATAACTGAAACGTCCACACCCACTTTTCCAGAAATAACATAGTATCGTAAGAACAAAAAAAAAGAGCCCTGTGTGATTCATCTAATCCAGTGTCCTGGTTCCAAAGAGAGTCTATTAAATGCTTCTGAGAAGGCAGGCATGGAATTCTGCGGCTTTTGGGGTTGTGTGTGTTCAGGTAGATTGCCTCTGAACAAGAAGGTTCCATTTAGCTATTACAGCAGACAGCTGCTAATAAGTTCTTCTGTTGTGGTTGTGTAGCCTTTATAAGGGCATCTAAGCTAGTGGGTGTCTCCACTTCTCGTGGTGGTGAGTTCCATAGGTTTAACTATTCAGTGTGCAATGAAGTGCTTCCTTTGGTCTGCTGGGGGTGTGCCGTCAAACCAACTTTGTTGTGTGTCAGTATTACAGCAGAGAGAGAATATTCTCCAGCCATGCTGTTCATTATTATTTTGTAAGCTGCTACCATGACTCCCCCAAAAAGCAATACCCCGCCAACCCTAAAATCCACAATTGCTTTAGCCTTTCCTCGCAGGAAATCATCCCGAGCCCCCAACATTCTGAGTTCCAATCCTGTGTAATAAATTCCACTGTGCTTAAATAGCAAGGTGCTGGGGCGTAAATCTTTGTACGCCTTATACTTCGGAAAGGCTGTGTCTATACACCCCAGAATGGCTGGTTGCAGAGATGCAGGCACTCTACAAATGCTCAGATGCCCTGTTGTCTTCTTTGTCGTTATTTCATTTTTCTCCGAGTTCAGTTCTAGCTGTACCAAATCTGTGTAGAAACCACACCCACTTCCTCCCCCTGGTATTAGAGGTGTGAAGTCTTGGTTTGATTCCCCACTCTTCCACATGCAGCCAGCTGGGTGTCCTTGGGTCAGTCACAGTTCTCTCAGAGTTGTTTTCTCAAGAGCAGTTCTCTCAGAGCTCTCTCAGCCCCACCTACCTCACAGGGGGTCTGTTGTGGGGAAGGGAAGGGGGTTGTAAGCCACTCTGAGTGAAGGGCGGGGAATAAATCTCCTCCTTCTCCTTCTTGAGAGCCAGTTTGGTGTAGTCATTAAGTGTGCGGACTCCGATCTGGGAGAACTGGGTTTGATTCCCCACTCCTTCACTTGCACCTGCTGGATGACCTTGGGCAAGCCACAGTTCTGTCAGAGCTGTTCGTGAAAAAGAGCAGTTTCTGTCAAGAGCTCTGTCAGCCCCACCTACCTCACAGGGTGTCTGTTGTGGGGAGGGGAGGGGAAAGGAGTTTGTAAGCCGCTCTGAGACTGCTTTGGGTAGTGAAGGGCGGGGTATAAATCCAAACTTCTCCTCTTCTCCTTCTTCCTTGGTGTATTCATGTATGTGTGTTGGGGGAGTAGTATTCTGTCCATGGTCAAAGGCACCCTTTTTAAAGAGGAGATACTGTAGCATCATTCATTTTATTATTTACATTTTTTGTAGTCCGCCTTTCTCCCTGAGACTCAAGGCGGATTACACAGTATCAGTCAATGCAATCGACAGGATGGGACTTCCAGGAAGCAATGTGATAGGACTCTGGAGATCTGAGACAAAGCAGAGAGCCGAAACAAAGCTGAAACAAAGCATAAGCCTCAACGTGACACTATTAAAACAATGCAGAAATTTCATAGAAGGCTAATACGTACAGTGACAGACAGTACATACTATGAAGAATCGTATAGTCCACAGTCCCTTTCCCTAAGCATCTTCCTGAACCGTTCTGCTATAGTTATAGCCCTACTACCTGTGCAAGAATGCCCGCCTGAATAATTCAGTTTTGCAGTTTGCGGAATGCCGGGAGAGTGGGATCCTTCCTGATCTAGCTTTGGGCGGGCCATTCCATAAGATGGGGGCCACAGTCTCTACACCCTGTTGTTGGTCCTCCAGAGGGCGGGCCATTCCATATGGTGGGGGCCACACCCTGTTGGCCCTCCAGTGGGCGGGCCATTCCATATGGTGGGGGCCACAGCGGAGAAGTCATGTATACGGGATGCCCTAAACAGCCTGGGACCCTCATACCTTCAGGACCACCTCTCCCGGCATGATCCTCCCTCTGTCTTCTCCAGTCTTCATCTCGGAATTTATTGACAGTCCCTGGTCCACGACCTGCCCGCCTTGTGTCAACAAGGGCGAGGGCCTTCTCAGTAGTGGCCCCTGTCCCATGGAACCAGCTGCCCGAAGAGGTGTGTGCCTTGCGGGACCTCCCTAGGTTCCGCAGGGCATGCAAGGCTGCTGTTTTTCAAAAGGCCTTTGGGTGATTGTGATCCACCAGGCAGCTGGTATGCTTCAGCTGTGTCTTCATCATCCACGCATCCTACCCTGCTTGATGGTGGATAGATTTTAATGGTGTATTTTATATGCCGTTAGCTGCCCTGAGTCCCATTCAGGGGAGAGGGAGCAGGATATAAATTTGGTAAATAAACAAGGGCAGCTGTTGATTTTGCTCATTTGCAGGGTGCCACCCGCACAAGGCCCCGCTCAAATGAGTGAAGCTGTCATGCCTGAGAGCGAACCATTTCAGCTCTTCCCTCTGCCAGGAATTTGGGGGCAAAGTGTGACCTTGTGCTGGAACTCCAGATGTCTAATTTGCCCCCTAAAAAGCCAGCCTGGCTGCGTGTTTGTGTGTGGGGGGTCTGATATGAATCAAGGACTGTGATGCTGTGGAAGGGGAGGATTTAAATCTTCTCTTCTGTGCAATTTCCATGATCAAAATCTTCCCCATTGTGCTGTTTCCCTGATCAGAAGTGCTCCCACTGGGTTGCTTTAAGTCCCGATGGGGGGTGGGGAAGGCAGAGGTATTGTTTGCCTTTCCCCCCCTTTTGGGACTTAAAGCAGCCTTAAAGGAGGACATCTCTGAACAGGGAAATAGCAGGGAGGGGAATACTTAATGCTCATTCCTGTGTAGATTCACCCTCCCCCAGGTGTTTTAAAGGCCAAATTACATGCTTGGGGTTCAAAATACTTTAGTTCTCCAGCAAGCAACTATACCTCAACCTTTCCCCCTGTCTGGCGTCTTCAAAGACGGGATGAATCATCCAGACCTGCCCTATAGGGTTGTTGTAAGGCATATCATGAGAATGTGGGTGAAGCTCTTTGAACCCTGTAAAGCACAATAATACAAAGCAAGCAGCGCTATTCTCAAGCTGGTGCTGAATTTTGTGAAGGCGTTGAATATTTCAAGTCTTTATAGCGTTAGCACCCATGTTTTTCAGCCCCCAAAAATTGGCTCCCGAAGTGGCTTAAAGCAATTCATACAGAAATCAAACAGGATTTAAAAAGTGGTTGGGTAGAAACTGCTGCCGATCACATTTGGATCCCATCTTCCTTACATCTCGGAATTCAAGACATCTGATTGGGTTCCCAGGGATCTCCCATCTTGGCCCTGACCAGACCCATTTCTGCTTAGCTTTAGTGAGGTGCCTGAAGACCACAGCCGGGGACCATTCTGGATCCAGGAATGATGGCGGGTGATGCCTGGTTGCCACTTCTTTCTTCTCTGGCTTTGCAGTTGGAAGCCAGCCTGGGGGGGTCCTCTGCTGCGTCGAGGCATGATGGAAGGGCCCCTGACTAGGGATGGGCACAAACCAGGAAAATGCAGTTTGGTTCATGGCATGCCTGGTTCACCAACCATGAACCATCACAAACTTTTAGTGGCCAAACAAACTGGTTTGTGAGGTTCATGACGTGGTAGGAACCCCCCCCCCCCAGCGTGCTAGAGACATCAAACTTGCAGAGAATCTCTGGCTGACTCTACCTGCCCTCTACCTAGCCTGTCTGGAAATGTATCCATTCATGAACCACAACTAACCTCCATGAACTGCTGGAAAGTTCATGCTGGTTGACCTACTATAAACTGCGAACCATGAACTGGCTGAAATTCGTCATGAACTTTAGTTTGTGAGCCAGTTTGTGCTCATCCCTATGCCTGACTCCTGCTATGGTGGGGTTGGATCCAGGCACAATGGAAGTAGATAGACACAGGGGATTAAATAGATTCATGGAGGAGAGGTCTATCAGTGGGTACTAGCCGTGGTGATTGAGGGGAACCTCTACATTCATGAGAGGAAGACCTTGGCCTCTTATGCCCTGTTGTTGGCCCTCCGTAGGAACTGGTTGAGGCCACTGTGTGAGACAGGATGCTGGACTAGGTGGACCCTCACTGGTCTGACCCAGCAGGGCTCTTTTCTGGTGTTCTTAATGAGAGGAAGGCCTCGGCCTCTCTGCCCTGTTGCTGGCCCTCCAGGGGAACTGGTTGAGGCCCGTGTGTGAGACAGGATGCTGGACTAGGTGGACCCTCACTGGTCTGACCCAGCAGGGCTCTTCTGATGTTCTTATGAGGGGAAGGCCTCGGCCTCTCTGCCCTGTTGCTGGCCCTCCAGGGGAACTGGTTGAGGCCCGTGTGTGAGACAGGATGCTGGACTAGGTGGACCCTCACTGGTCTGACCCAGCAGGGCTCTTCTGATGTTCTTATGAGGGGAAGGCCTCGGCCTCTCTGCCCTGTTGCTGGCCCTCCAGGGGAACTGGTTGAGGCCCGTGTGTGAGACAGGATGCTGGACTAGGTGGACCCTCACTGGTCTGACCCAGCAGGGCTCTTCTGATGTTCTTATGAGGGGAAGGCCTCGGCCTCTCTGCCCTGTTGCTGGCCCTCCAGGGGAACTGGTTGAGGCCCGTGTGTGAGACAGGATGCTGGACTAGGTGGACCCTCACTGGTCTGACCCAGCAGGGCTCTTCTGATGTTCTTATGAGGGGAAGGCCTCGGCCTCTCTGCCCTGTTGCTGGCCCTCCAGGGGAACTGGTTGAGGCCCGTGTGTGAGACAGGATGCTGAACTAGGTGGACAATTGGTCTATTCCAGCAGGGCTCGTCTTATGTTCCTAAGTATGCCTGGCTGCTGCCTTCCTTCCTTCTAAAGACAGCTGGGAGCTGGAGGGAGGAGCTGAGCTCTGGCTGGATCCAGACACGATGGAGGGTTTGCTTCCTCTCCTATCTCTGATGGCTGCGTTCATGGCCGCTGGAAGAACGGGGCGGGATTCAATTGGGAATGGACCTACGTATAACGGAGAGTGGGCTAGTTGCTGCCTCTTTGTCCTCTGGGAAAAGTTAACGCATGACATACCAGAAATGCATTCTATATATCTTATTTTCAAATTGCGAGGAAGGGGCCCTGTTGGCCAAGAAAGACTTGCACTTTCCCCATAGGTTGTAGAGGATTCTGGGAAATGTTTGAGGGTGCAGTCTCAGACCATGGGGGCACTGGCCTTGTGGGGCCTCAGTTGTTGCTCCATGTGATTTGGGAGTCCTTGGATGAACCCTGCAGCTGTGTGCAGCAGGAATATAGTTATGCTGACACAAGCCGTCTTTCGGGGGAAGCTAGTTTGGCATGGTTAATTTCATCTGGGATCTCTCCATAAGGTTCCAAAGAACCCGAAGTGTTGCTTGGAGGCTGCTTTGAAAACCAACAATTGAAAAGAAAAAAGTGACCCATGTCTTTTATGCTGGTTCTCCCGGAAAAGCCCCTTGCTCACCCCAGGCGACCATGTCTTTATGAGTGGGGCATACTAAATTTGGACAAACCCCCCCCCCCGAGAACACAGTCGCAAAGCCCCACCTGTAGGAGATTTCGGTTCTAAGTGGAAGGGATTCACACTGACAAACCAGCCTGAAATTTTCGTACAGGAACGAATTTCTTCTGCTGATCTAGCTGTGTGAAATACTCAGCTTGGAAACAAACAAAAGTGGGGAACTGGATTCTGTATAGCTGTTTCTGGGGAACAGGGTCCTGTGTAGTGGTTAAGAGAGCCAGTTTGGTGTAGTGGTTAAGTGCGCGGACTCTAATCTGGGAGAACCGGGTTTTATTCCCCACTCCTCCACTTACACCTGGCTGGATGACCTTGGGCAAGCCGTAGTTCTGGCACAGCTGTCCTTGAAAAAGAGCAGTTTCTGTCAAGAGCTCTCTCAGCCCCACCCACCTCACAGGGTGTCTGTTGTGGGGAGGGGAAGGGAAAGGAGTTTGTAAGCCGCTCTGAGACACCTTTGGGTAGTGAAGGGCGGGGTATAAATCCAATCTCTTCCTCTTCTTCCTGTGCCAGATCGGGGTGGGAGGGGCTGTAGGGGACGCCTCAACTTGCTCAGGCCGTAAGCCCCTTGGGGCAGGGACCGATTTGTCTTTCCCTCTGTCACTCAAGTGCTGATTAGGGGGTTTCAATCTGTTTTACTGGTATTTTTCAGTTTGGGTCTATTGGACCAGAAAATATTTCGGGATTCCAGAAAAACCCTGCATCCAAATACTGGTACAGTATTCAGATCCGGGATTTTTCAGAAATCCCGAACTTCTTGTGGTTCAATAGACCCAAACCGATGAATTCCGGTAAAAAATACCAGCCCGATCATGGGGCTGGCTTGGCTTCCCCCGCAACCCGGTTTAAACCGAGCTGCAGGAGGAGGCACCGCGATCCCAGTTGGGCCGCCCTCTCCTGCCACCTGATTTAAATCCCGGCTGGGCTGCCCTCTCCTGTCGCCCAGTTTAATTCCTATCAGGTATATTTTGGATATACTTTCCGCTTGGGCAGATCCGAATGCACACCTTTAGTGCTGATAGCACCAAAGAGTTGGTGATACGACAAGCGGCTATTCACACAGGGGGAATGATGCGTTACTTTGTCTCTTCCATCCCCCCCCCGCCATCCCCCTTTTCTCGCCACGCAGACCGGCATGAAGAACATGGAGCGGGAGCTGCTGTGCCCTGTGTGCAAGGAGATGTACAAGCAGCCCGTGGTGCTGCCTTGCATGCATAACGTGTGCCACATCTGTGCCACCGAGATCCTGCTGCAGCAGGGCTATGTCTGCCCGGACCCCACCTCCGAGCCCACCTCGCCAGCTTCCACACCCGCTACGAGGAGCCCCCGCCTAGGACGCCGGGTTGTGCCCAAGCCAGAGCGCCTGGACCGGCTCCTCAAATCAGGTGGGTGTTCGAGGGGCACGGCATGGGCAGTTCAGTGTCTGTGCCCGGTAGACCATTCAAGGGATAAGAAATACCTTAGGAAGCACAGCATGGAGGCAACAGCCTACCCTTGTTTTTGGACCACAGCTGTTGCTCTTCAGGGATAGACTGCCTCTGAATGTGGAGGTTCTTTTCCTTAAGTGTCATGATAAATAGCTGGTGGGAAGTGCCGTCAAGTCGCAGCTGACTCATGGAGACCCCGTAGGGTTTTCAAGGCAGGAGACTGACACGGGTGGTTTTGCCGTAGCTTTTCTCTGCATGACAACCCTGGGCTTCTGTGACGGACGACATTTAAAATGCTGTTTTCCTAATGCAGAAAAATCGGAGGAAAGGAGCAGCCTGTCACTCAAAGCTCAACGTTCTAGAGCAGATTTAGAGTCCGGTGGCACCTTTAGGACCAGAAAGGGTTTATTCAAGGTATGAGTTCTCGTGTGGACAGCACACTTCTTCAGATACATTGGAATGGTCAAGGTTCAAACCTCCAATCGGTTTACCTCACACAGTTAGAAAAGATACCTTTACACATTTATCCCCTATTTTGACATATCTGGAGCTGCGGTGGCTCAAGTGGTTAAGACGCTGAACTGCAGGCTGTGGAAGGTCAGTAGTTCAAGACCCGAGTGTGCCGCGTGACGGAGTGAGCTCCCGTCTCTAGTTCCAGCGCCTGCCAACCTAGCAGTTCGAAAGCAAGAAATTGCAAGTAGATAAACAGGTACCGCTTCGGTGGGAAAGCAACGGCGTTCCATGCGCCTTGGTGTTTAGTCATGCTGGCCACACGACCACGGAAACGTCTTCGGACAGCGCTGGCTCTTCGGCTTGGAAACGGAGATGAGCACCGCAACCCTAGTGTCGGACTCGACGGGCTTTCGAGCAAGGGAAACCTTTACCTTTACCTTTACTTTTGACATATCTATTGCTTTACTGTCCTTTCCCCCCTTAATTAAGTCAAAACAACTGCTGACCTTATAACCTCGGCTTGTTATTTAGTCTTGCCTTTGCGTATCTTAAAACATCATCATCTGGCGTGTTAATTTGCTGTTCAGCCTCTGTCTGTTAAGTCTGAACTCCACCTTCCATTCCAATGTATCCGAAGAAGTGTGCCGTGCACACAAAAGCTCCTCCCTTGAATGAACCCCCTTGTTGGTCTCAAAGGTGCCCCCACTGGACTCTCAATTTATTCTACCGCTTCAGGCCAACACGGCTGACCACCTGGAACCATTCCAGACCCTCCTCCTCTGATTTTGCTGCATTAGGAAAACGGCCTTTTTAATGTAGTTGGTCACACCTTCCTTTGGTGGTCTCCGATCCAAGTACTAAACCAGGTCCGACCCTGCTTAGTTTCCAAGATTCTGATGAGACCAGGCTGGCCTAGGCCCTTCATGTCAGGGCAGCTAATATCTACTGACAGATAAAATGCAAGGTGAAATAATCCTAATTTTTTTACAATGTTCCTGGCTGGATCAAACTTAAAAGATGATCTAGGCCCCGGTCACACGGGAGGTTTAGGGCCGGAAGAGGGACGGATCGGGGGCGCAGCAAACGGGCGCGATCCCACCGCAACATCTGGGAAGCGGTGTGCTCCCGTCCCCGATCCGGCCCTTCAGGCCAAAAATCCGCAGTGAAAACAAACCACCTACAGAGGTGGAAGGATCGCCGGCGCATCCTTCTGCCGGCGCATCCGAGGCTCCTGGCCAAACTGCGCATACGCACACATGCCGGCTGCCTCGGTCTCCCGTCGGTGGCTTCTTCCCCGGCATCTGATTGTGCCGGGGAGCAACGGCGCAGCGGCTCCGGGTCTGTGTGATACTGCCGCCGTGTGTCTCTTTTGGTGTGGCTCTGAATAGCCGCACTTTGGCCGTGTTTTTTTCTGCCGTGTGGCAGGGGCCCTAGTTTAGCATCTTTTCCCCTATTGGTGTCAGTCACATGCCCCTGTAGGAAACTTTCATGAGTGGTGCATGAAGGCAGTAGCCCTCCTCTTGTTACCCCGCAAGGTATACTGCTTCGGAATTTGGAAGCTCTGTTTCTCTCTTTCTCATGGACAACGGCTGTTGATAGACCAGTTCTCTGTGGCGTGAGGCACTGAGTCACTCTTGTCCACGGCGCCCTCTGCTCCCTTGTTCTAGGCTTCGGCACGTACCCGGGGCGGAAACGAGGCGGCATTGTGCACCCACAGAACGTGCTGTTCCCGTGCCCCTCCTGCCAGCGGGACGTGGACTTGGGCGAGCGAGGTTTGGGCAGCCTCTTCCGCAACCTGACGCTGGAGAGGGTCGTCGAGCGCTACCGTCACACCATCAACGTCAGCACGGCCATCATGTGCCAGTTCTGCAAGTCGCCGCAGCTGGAGGCGACCAAAGGCTGCACCGAGTGCAAATCCAGCTTCTGCAATGAGTGCTTCAAGCTCTACCACCCTTGGGGCACCCAGAAGGCACAGCACGAGCCCACGCCCCCTACGCTTACTTTCCGGCCCAAGGTAAGAGTGGCAAACGCTTGAGCGGATTTGGGGCACCTTCACTCAGGGTGGGGTGGGGAAATGGTCAATTTGCATGAAGCAGGTGGGTGGGGGGGTGTAGTTCAGGGGCTGTATGGGCGTCCTTTGAGCAGCGAAGGCGGTGCTATGATCTGCTGGAAAACCTCCAGCTCTCGGGGCACAAAGTTTCACGGGCCAGAGCACATTTCTCTCGATATATTGTGGAGATCTATGATCAGGATCAATGTTCCCTTCCCTCTAAGCAGTGGAGTCTTGTGAGCAAAAATTCTACTCTGTGAGCTACTGGCATTAAAGTTGTGAGCGAGCGATTTGGCCTAATGCATGAATTCGTTTGCCCTGGAGCCATCCTTCCTCAACAAAGGTAGAATTGTGTGAGCCGGAGGCTAAGAAACTGTGAGCTTAGCTCACACTAACTCAGCTTAGAGGGAACACTGATCAGGATCTCTCATATTTGGTGTAGCTGGTTTGGTGTAGTGGTTAAGTGCACGGACTCTAGTCTTGGAGAACCGGGTTTGATTCCCCACTCCTCCACTTGCGCCTGCTGGATGACCTTGGGCAAGCCGTAGTTCTGGCACAGCTGTTCTTGAAAAAAGAGCAGTTTCTGTCAAGAGCTCTCTCAGCCCCACCCACCTCACAGGGTGTCTGTTGTGGGGAGGGGAAGGGAAAGGAAATTGTAAGCCGCTCTGAGACTCCTTTGGGTAGTGAAGGGCGGGGTATAAATCCAATCTCCTCTTCTTCTTCTTTTACCTCACAGGGTGTCTGTTGTGGGGAGGGGGAAGGGAAAGGAGTTTGTAAGCCGCTCTGAGACTCCTTTGCATAGTGAAGGGCGGGGTATAAATCCAATCTCCTCTTCTTCTTCTTTTACCTCACAGGGTGTCTGTTGCGGGGAGGGGAAGGGAAAGGCGTTTGTAAGCCGCTCTGAGACTCCTTTGGGTAGTGAAGGGTGGGGTATAAATCCAATCTCCTCTTCTTCTTCTTTTACCTCACAGGGTGTCTGTTGTGGGGAGGGGAAGGGAAAGGAAATTGTAAGCCGCTCTGAGACTCCTTTGGGTAGTGAAGGGCGGGGTATAAATCCAATCTCCTCTTCTTCTTCTTTTACCTCACAGGGTGTCTGTTGTGGGGAGGGGGAAGGGAAAGGAGTTTGTAAGCCGCTCTGAGACTCCTTTGGGTAGTGAAGGGCGGGGTATAAATCCAATCTCCTCTTCTTCTTCTTTTACCTCACAGGGTGTCTGTTGTGGGGAGGGGAAGGGAAAGGCGTTTGTAAGCCGCTCTGAGACTCCTTTGGGTAGTGAAGGGCGGGGTATAAATCCAATCTCCTCTTCTTCTTCTTTTACCTCACAGGGTGTCTGTTGTGGGGAGGGGGAAGGGAAAGGCGTTTGTAAGTCGCTCTGAGACTCCTTTGGGTAGTGAAGGGCAGGGTATAAATCCAATCTCCTCCTCCTCCTTTTTTAAAATGATAAAAGGAGTCATTGGTGATTGGCATTCATGGCCAATCAAGCCTTCAAAGTCATGTGTCGGAAGGCTTGGACCCTACCCTTCTCTCTCCCAGTGGAAAAAATGTAGAGTCCGGTGGCACCTTTCAGATGAACAAAGGTTTGTTCAAGGTACGAGCTTTCGTGTGCAGGCACACTTTTTGGTAAAGTATTTGACAAAGTGTGCCCTGCAGACGAAAGCTGATACCTTGAATAAACCTTTGCTGGTCTTCAAGGTGCCACATTTGTCCTACTGCTTCAGACCAGCACGGCTGACCACCTGGAACCTTCTCTCTCCCAGACATTTTCCCAGCGTCCATCGTGTGTCCGTGGACTTGAAGTTGCTTCCAGGCACTTCACGGGCCAAGCAGTAGTTCAGGGTGGGGGAGACACACAACGGTGGCCAGGATAATGTTGTGGGAGGAAAGGGTTGACACCCTTCACCTCGATACCGATACACTGATCTAGATCTCCCTCCTCCCCCGCTGTGACAGCTTGTATAATTTAGAAACAGAACAGGAGCGATCCCGATTACGGCTCTCTCTCAGATGCATCTACATAAGAACATAAGAGAAGCCAACGTTGGATCAGGCCAATGGCCCATCCAGTCTAACACTCTGTCACACAGTGGCTAAAAATACCAGGGGCCATCAGGAGGTCCAGCAGTGGGGCCAGGACATTAGAAGCCCTCCCACTGTTGCCCCCCCCAGCACCATGAATACTTGCCCCAGCCCGAAAATTCCTGTCTATACCTTGTGGCTGATAGCCACTAATGGACCTCTGCTCCATATGCTTATCTAGTTACCTCTTGAAGCCGTCCATGCTTGTTGCTGCCACCACCTCCTGTGGCAGTGAATTCCATGTGTTAATTGCTCTTTGGGTGAAGAAGGACTTCCTTTTATCCATTCTAACCCAACTGCTCAGCAATTTCATTGAGGGCTCTGTGTTCTTAGGTATGTGTGAAAATGCTTACAGGTGAGAGAAAGCTCTCTGTAATCAGTGTAGCCAGAAGCCTACGGGATTGGATTTCTGAAGCTCCATTTATAGAGCTATCCTGTGGTGCAAGTAGTATTCTGCTGACAGAAGAAAGTAGAAGAACGGAAAAGTACAAAGGTGGCGGCTGATTTGTCACATCTCAGTGTAGCACCCAGGTGTAGGATCCAGATGCATGCAAGATTTAAAATAAAAATAAAAATAGAACAACCTATTCTCTCTCTCTCTCTTTTTTTTAATACTTGCCCAAATGGGCAAAGTTTCTTAGTTTTTAAGGATTACACAAAACAAAAACAACAGAAAGTGCCATACATTTTAAAGAGTTACATAAAATAAAACAAAAAGAGAGAGCCATACACTTCAAAGGTATCCAGCCATTGCAACGTTCATAACATCTTTAGAGACATAATTTCCTTTTTCCCTTTGTTAATCTAAAGTCCACAACAGATGGCATTAGGTAGAATTCTGTTCCCAATAAACAATTCACTATTCTCAACCTGCAATTCGGGGTCAAAGACGCGACCTACCAAGTGTACCTTTCCACCCCCAAGAGCCAGACACATGCGCGCACTTTCTCTCTCTCTCTATTTAACGAATGAAAGCCTGAATGGGATCTAGAAGTTCGGGGGTGTTTCCCATTGAGGACAGCAAGGGGCTTACAACCGCTGCCTTTGTCATTCTCCGTAGGGTCTGACGTGCCCGGAGCACAGGGAGGAAGTGACGCATTACTGCAAGACCTGTCAACGGCTGGTGTGCCAGTTGTGCCGAGTGCGCCGCACGCATACGGGCCACAAGATCACGCCTGTGCTCAGCGCCTATCAGGCCCTCAAGGTGAGGTGTCGGGAGGACTCAACCCCTCTCCCCCCCCCCAAAAAAACAAGCCCTCGAGGAAAGAAGGAGGTAGACGATGAGATGAAATTTCAGAACTAAGCAGGATTTCCAGTTGGTGATTCAAGAGGGGGGACGCCTGGGATGGTTTGACCGTGGAATCTGGGACCCTTTGTGCTGGGGCCGTGGTCGACACTGCAGATGGTGATGCTTTGATGCATGGTAGACTAAGGGCACAGCAAACTAAAGAGCATAGACATACGAGAGGTTGCTGCAAAAGTTCAAACACTCAACAAAAAGTAGCAAACCTGTCAAAGCACAATATCACTCATCAATGGCATTTTAATCTTGATTTGTTTCAGTGAATATCAAGAGACCAAAGTCCCATCAAGATGCAAGAAAACGGCAACAGGACGAACTTTCTCGAGTTTTGACTGCTCGTTTCGACGTGTGTTTAAATTTGTTTATGTCTAATAGGATGTTTGACAAAGACACACCTCGAAACGAGCAGTCAAAACTCGAGAAAGTTCGTCCTGTTGCCGTTTTCTTGCATCTTGATGGGACTTTGGTCTCTTGATATTCACTGGAACAAATCAAGATTAAAATGCCATTGATTAGTGATATTGTGCTTTGACAAGTTTGCTACTTTTTGTTGAGTGTTTGAACTTTTGCAGCAACCTCTCGTATGTCAATGCTTTGATGCATGTCAGCTCTTTCCTGTCCCATCATTGCCCTGACGTGGACGGCCCGGGCTAGCCTCATCTCGTCAGATCTCAGAAGCTAAGCAGGGTCGGCCCTGGTGAATACTCGGATGGGAGACCCCCCCCCCAAGGAAGTCCGGGGTTGCTGCGCAGAGGCAGGCAAGGGAAACCCCCACCTGCTTGTCTCCTGCCTTGGAGACCCTACAGGGTCGACAGAAGTCGGCCGGGACTTGATGGCACCGTCCACCGCTGTGCCCCATCATTTCTGTAACAAACTTGGAGAAAACGAGGTGGGAGAACGGTCCCGTGATGAGACCGGTAGTATCATGGGTAGCTTCTTCTTTTCCTTTTTCCTTTTGCCCCCTAAAGGGGATTTTTTATTGCACTTTTAATAGTCACTACAAACTACAAAAGAAACAGGGTAAGGGACTACATTTAGGGACAAAGTAAAGATACCCACTAATACCTAAAAACCCAAGAGAGGAGACCTTCTAATCATCTTAAGCAAACATCAAGTCTTTCTCCCGCTAATCCCTTTACAAACTGAGTCAAGTATAACATTAACTTTTTTCAATTCTTAAATTTAACTGCCATTAAGAAATACCCCAAAGCATCTCATTTCAAAGTTTTTCAAAGGCACAATTCAGAGTCCTTCAGCCTTCACTTCTCCTTGCCCCGTCTCTTCCGCAACTTATAAGGACTTTTAGGAGCGGCTGCCCCTTTCTCTGAGAGAGAGTCCTTTCCGGAAGAATCCGAGTCCAATGGGTAGCTTCTGGGCTGCCCGCTGAAAGACCTCTGTGGGTATCCCAAAGCGAGCCTTGGCAGCAGGACCCTAAGATGGCTACCTAGGGCAGCCCTCTATCAGCAGCGTCACGGCCGCAGCATTTGGGGGAGGGGGTTTCCCTTAGAATCACAGAGTCGGAAGGGACCTCCAGAGTCATCTAGTCCGACCCCCTGCACAATGCGGGGAATTCACAAATCCCTCCCCACCCCAGTGACCCCTGCTCCATGCCCAGTTCCTTCCTAGTTCCATTTTGATGGATGAGTCCTGATGCTTGTGGGACAAAAGCGGAGGCAAGGAAAGGCCCGGTCTCCACGGTAGAGCCAGGAAGGACCAGGAACTTCCTCTACTCTTCTCCTTCTTGTTTTTTTCATGCCTCCAGGACAAGCTGACAAAAAGCCTGACCTACATCATGAGCAATCAAGACACTGTCCAGGCTCAGATCAACGAGCTGGAAGAGACCCTTCGGCTCACCGAGGTATGGATATCTTGGTGTGCGTTCCAGGGTTGGAGCCACTCAAGGAATGACGGACATTTCATATACAGGGATTTTTTTTTTTACACATCCTTCCCCTTCCCTTTCCATGCAACGGGAGTGGGATTAGTTTCCTTTGGCAGGTAGAGAACCCGTAATGGTAGTAGTGTCTTTGTGATACTGTGCTGATGAATGCACAGGTTGAGTCGCTGTTTTATTGCAAAGGAATTTCTGAAACAGATTAGAATGGGAGATTGCTGAATTATAAGTTATTACAGCACTCAGGACAATTGAACCCCCAGGGATTAACAGAGATACCGGGTTCTTGCCTCACTACACATGCTAAGATCATTCAGTTCTTGCATCTATTTGTTAACTCTTTTATTATCTGTATGCTGATTTGCTGCTATTCACATGTCTTATCACCTATTTTAATCCAATCTTAGCTATACTTATCGCTCAGTTATAATGAATCTTGATTCTAATTAGCTCTTCCTGGCAATTAACCCCCCTCCACCTATATGTAATGGTTGACAAAGTCTGTTTCAATGTATCTGAAGAAGTGTGCATGCACACAAAAGCTTATATCCAGAATTAAACTTTGTCGGTCTTAAATGCTACTGGACTCAAAAGTCATTCTGTTATGGAGGTGCAGGAGCATGCACACAAGCATGGCAAGTTTCACACTGATCTTCCAAATTCAAATCCTGCTCTAATTACTGGGCTAATTTTTTACCTTAAAACTTAGGGAAGTTTTCAGAATTGAGTTTAGCCCATTTGTCTGGAGAAAATGGATACTTTGGGGGGTGGAATCTGTGGTATTGTACCCCACTGAGGTCCCTGTCCTTCCCACGCTCCAAAACCCAAATCTCTAGGAATTTCCCAACCTGGATCTGACGACCACACCTCTCACTGGTGCCCTGAAGGACCTGGCAAACCTACTGTCTTGCCCATGAAAATTATACAAATTATAAATTGAGTGACCTGAAAATGTTACGTTTGGGAGATGAGTTGGAACTGCTGATCACATGTCCTATCTGAGCTTCCCTCACAAGCTCACCAAAGGCCCTCCACTTATTTCTTCACTTTTATTTATTTATTTAAAATATTTCTATGCTGCCATTCCAGCACTTTGAATTGGGCCCAGAAGCAAATTGGGAGCCAGTGTAGACAGAACAGAACTGGAGTGATATGGTTTCTTGGACCCACTCCAGTCAAAATTCTGGCCACGGCATTCTTTCCATCCCCCGGCTTGTGAAAACTCCCCTTCCATTCCTTCAGACTGCCTTCTCTACTTTCAAACGGTTATTGTTGGCAAAGTAGTGAATTGTGGCAGTAGCAAAAAGGTAAAGGTAAAGGTTCCCTCGCTCGAAAGCCAGTCGAGTCCGACTCTAGGGTTGCAGTGCTCATCTCCGTTTCAAAGCCGAAGAGCCAGCGCTGTCCGAAGACGTTTCCGTGGTCATGTGGTTGGCATGACCAAGGCGCACGGAACGCTGTTAGCTTCCCACCGAAGTGGTACCTATTTATCTACTTGCAATTTCTTGCTTTCGAACTGCTAGGTTGGCAGGAACTGGAACTAGAGACAGGAGCTCACTCCGTCATGCGGCACACTCGGGTCTCGAACTGCTGAACTACTGACCTTCCACAGCCTGCAGTTCAGCGTCTTAACCACTTGAGACACCGCAGCTCCAGTAGTGGGGCAAGCAAAATGGGAGCGGATAGAGGAAAATGCAGCGATAACACCTGCGAGAACATTCTATCGTCTGGCTTGATGAATTGCAAGTTGTGCATGCCCAGACCTCTTGCAAAACCAGCACTAAGTTCCACCTCAAGACCTACTTCTTCAGGGGTGGAGCCTGAGCGGTGGGTGTTGCCTTCTGACACACTTCCGGTGACGTCAGGGGGTGTGGCATATGCAAATAAGTTATGATAATGAGTTGTGCTGATGAGCTCCTGCACCTCTTTTTCTACGGAATGACCCCTGCCTTATGCACAGGGCTATTTTGGGGCAGGAACGCACAGGAACGGAGTTCCGGCTGGCTCCCGAGTTGGCCACGCCCAGCAGGAACTCATTAGCATAATAGGCCACACCCAACAGCAGAAACTCATTAGGATTGGCTACATTAGGGGTGTGTGGCCTAACATACAAAAAAGCTCTGGGTTTTGACAACAAACAAGGTAAACAGAATAAGAAGCAAAAGGTGGGTGTGGCTGGATGACCACACTTCTGGTAACTTGGGGGTGTGGCCTAATATGGCAATGAGCTGTGCTGTCAGGGGTGTGGCCTAATATGCTAATGAGTTCCTGCTGTTGGGTAAGGCCTATTATGCTAATGAGTTCCTGCTGGGCTTTTTCTACAAAAAAAGCCCTGCTTATGCATATAGCTTTTGGCCACCCTTGCTGTGTGTTATGTCCTACCGCAGGTGAACGGGACGCAGGCCAAGGAAGAGGTGGCGCGGCTGATGCGGGGCCTGAACGCCCTGCTGGAGGAGAAGCAGGCATCTCTTCTGAACGCCATCGAGGAATGCAGGCAAGAGCGGGTCTCCAACCTCCGTGCGCAGCTGCACGAGCACCAGTCCATGATGGAGAACTCCGGTATGGTGGGCTACACCCAGGAGGTGCTAAAGGAGACCGATCAGCCTTGCTTTGTGCAGGCTGCGAAGCAGATCCATAACAGGTATTTGTATATTCCCAACATATGTCCGTGCACGTCTTCTCTTTAGCTACGGGAGGCTTTTGCCGATTGTTAAGACCGTGAAATTAAGAGATCCTTAGACAACAGCCCCAAAACATTAAAGAAAGCTATGTCCGCAGCACTTTTAGAACAAGCAGGGCTATTTTTGGGCAGGAACGCACAGGAACGGAGTTCCGGCTGGCTTCAGAGTTAGCCACACCCACTACAGCCAAAACCTCTGTGTGCATGGCTACAGTTTAAACTGCCTTCCCATCCCTTCAAGGGCCAGTTTACCCCAGGCTCTCCACAGCCGCAGGGCGCCGAGGCAAGCCAAGGGATGTGGCCTAATATGCTAATGAGCTGTGCTGTCAGAGGTGTGGCCTATTATGCTAATGAGTTCCTGCTGGGCTTTTTCTACAAAAAGAGCCCTGACAAGGAATAGTAACTTAGTAATACTGTAACTATTTAGAGCCAGATCTGGGAGAACCAGGTTTGATTCCCCACTCTTCCACATGCAGCTGCTGGTGTGACCTTGGGTCAGTCACAAGTTCTCTCAGAGCTGTCCTTGAAAGAGCAGTTCGTTCAGAGCTCTCTCAGCCCTGCCTACTTCACAGGGTGTCTGTTGTGGGAGGGGAAGGGAAAGGAGATTGTAAGCCGCTCTGAGACTCCTTCAGGTAGTGAAGGGCAGGGTATAAATCCAATCTCATATCTTCTTAAGGCAGGGTTTTCTGACTTGTGGGTCAGGACCCAAAAGTGGGATGCGAAGCCTCTGCAAGTGGTTGCAGGTCAGCCCTCTGTAATGGCCACCCCTGCCCTTTCCAGTGCTCTTTTTTGTATCTTGGAAACCAAGATCTAACCCTGGAAACAGAATCTTCCATTTTTCCTTCACTGCATATACATGTTGATCAAGTAAAACATGTCCTGATGCTCACTAGAATGAGATTCTTAGAGTGGATTAGAGTGAGTAATGGGGAGGAAAGGATAGTTAAAAGCTGTAATAGAACCTCCTGGAATGTATGTTGGGTATAGTGGTTAGGAGTAAGGACTCTGATCTGGGAGAACCGGGTTTGATTCCCAACTTCCCCCACATGCAGCTGCTGGAGTGACCTTGGGTCAGTCACAAGTTCTCTCAGAGCTGTTCTCTCACGAGCCGTTCTCGAAAGAGCTCTCTTCTCAGCCCCACCCACCTCCCAGGGTGTCTGTTGTGGGGAGGGAAAGGGGAAGGAGATTGTAAGCCGCTCTGAGGCTCCTTCAGGTAGTGAAGGGCAGGGTATAAATCCAATCTCCTCCTCTTCTTATGTTTGAGTACCACTTGCTTGGGGTTCATAGTGGGTAGCAGGCGCACCCTTTGTGCAGTGTTTGTTGGTTTTTCAAAAACATCTGGTTAGCCACTGTAGAAAAGGGAATGCTGAACTAGATGGGTGGCCAGGTCAGAGTTTGCCTAGGATGCTAAAAAGCTTTGGGCCAGCCCTAGATGGGTCTCCATACCAAGTAAATTTGGACTTGTGGGTTACCATACAAAAAAAGGCTGTTTTAGGGTATGTTGATGACATTCTGCAAGTTATGTTTTGAATGTTGATCTTTAGAGTTCTGTTTTAATGGGGTTGCACTTTAGCTTTTTTTCTGAGTCTCTGTTCTCACATGTACCCAGGGTTGAGCTTGGTTTGTCTTGGGGGTGCTGTTGGACTATAGCTTTGTTCTCACATCTCTTTGTTAACCCTTGCATTTTTGTGCTAATTTGCTGCCATTCATTGATCTTACCGGCCACATGATCCAATTTCAGCCCTACTTATACATCTTGGCTGTGACTGGCCCTTCCAGTTTGGTGTAGAATTCCCCACTCCTCCACATGCAGCTGCTGGTGTGACCTTGGGTCAGCCACAAGTTCTCTCAGAGCTGTTCTCTCAAGAGCAGTTCCTGAAAGAGCTCTCTGAGCCACACCTACCTCACACGGTGTCTGTTGCGGGGAGGGGAAGGGAAAGGAGTTTGTAAGTCGCTTTGAGACTCCTTCGGGTAGTGAAGGGTGGGGTATAAATCCAATCTCTTTTTCTTTTCTTCTTCCTTCCTAATGGCTGCCCCCCACCCTCTTTTTTCTGAAAGTGGGGCTTGAGGAGATTTCATTTCATTGGGTCTGACAAAGCGTGCTTGCCAGGGCTATTTTGGGGCAGGAACGCACAGGAACGGAGTTCCGGCTGGCTTCCAAGTTGGCCACGCCCAGCAGGAACTCATTAACATAATAGGCCACACCCAACAGCAGAAACTCTTTAGGATTGGCTACATTAGGGGTGTGTGGCCTAACATGCAAAGGAGTTCCTGCTCCAAAAAAAGGCCCTGGGTTTTGACAACAAAGAAGGTAAACAGAATAAGAAGCAAAAGGTGGGTGTGGCTGGATAACCACACTTCTGGTAACATGGGGGTGCGTCCTAATGTGCCAATGAGCTGTGCTGTCAGGGGTATGACCCAATATGCTAATGAGTTCCTGCTGTTGGGTGTGGCCTATTATGCTAATGAGTTCCTGCTGGGCTTTTTCTACAAAAAGAGCCCTGGACTTGCACACAAAAGCTTATATGTTGAATAAAACTTTGTTGGTCTTAAAGGTGCCACTGGACTCAAACTTTGTTCTGTCTGTCACTGTTATTGTATGTCGCCTTGGGCATTTTTTGAAGAGGTGGGGAGAGAGAGGAGTTTAATAAATATGTAGGCCCTGTTCATACGAGCCCATTTGGGCCGGGAGCGGGACGGAACGGGGGCGGAGCAAACCGGCACGATCCCACCTCAACATCTGGGGAGCGTGCCGGATCCGTCCCGGTTCCGTCCCTTCCAGCGTTGCTCCGCGGCAAAAAAGAACCACCTCCCAAGGTGGTTCTTTCTGAAGGGCCGCAGCAATGCTGGCCGTGGGATCGCCGGCGCGTCCTTGCGCCGGCGCATCCCCGGCTCCTGGCCGAACTGCGCATGTGTGAGCATGCGCAGTTCGCCAGGCTCCCCTTCCCACCGTCGCGTTCTCCCCGGCATCTGATCGTGCCGGGGAGCGTTGCGACACGGCTCAGGGGATCTGTGAGATTCGCCGCGCTGTCCCAACTTTGCTGCGGCTCACTTTAGCCGCGGTACTAGCGTCTTATTCCCTGCCGTGTGGCAGGGACCGTAAATGAACCCCAATTTTTTTTTAAAAAAATCATTAAAGGTGTCAATTAAAAAGGTAAAAAAAAATTGAACCCCATAAATGTCAAGAGAGACAGAAATTGTATGCAGAGTGTTTCTGGAACCTCCCCTTTCTCCCAAGGAGGGCATTGAATTTGTGCTTGGCAGGGCTATTTTGGGGCAGGAACGCACAGGAACGGAGTTCCGGCTGGCTCCCGAGTTGGCCACGCCCAGCAGGAACTCATTAGCATAACAGGCCACACCCAACAGCAGAAACTCATTCGGATTGGCTACATTAGGGGTGTGTGGCCTAACATGCAAAGGAGTTCCTGCAACAAAAAAAGCCCTGGGTTTTGACAACAAACAAGGTAAACAGAATAAGAAGCAAAAGGTGGGTGTGGCTGGATGAGCACACTTCTGGTAACACGGGGTGTGTGGCCTAATGTGCTAATGAGCTGTGCTGTCAGGGGTGTGGCCCAATATGCTAATGAGTTCCTGCTGGGCTTTTTCTACAAAAAGAGCCCTGGGCTTGGAGATGATTGTTCCCATGTGACAGTCACACACCCCATGCCCTGCTTTCCCTCTATCCCCGGTGTCTTTCCTCGTTGGCAGGATCATCAGGGCAACCGACTCGCTGCAGTGTTTCCAGCCTGTCGCCAACGCCTCCTTCAGCCACTTCCAGGTGGACGTGAGCCGGGAGCTCAAATTGCTCACAGACCTCACTTTTATTAAAGGTATGTACAAACTCCTTGCTGGATGAAGGGGTCTTTGCATGGTAAGTCTCCGAGGGGTGCAACTCTGTGCTAGGTCGAGCTGCCCTTTTGTCCACGTTCAGTGGCCACGGGACTGGAGGCGGCAGTTTCGGGAGGAAGGTGTCGTACTCGGCTTTCTCCCGTTGAAAAATAGCAGGCGCGCAGCTGATGCCGAATGGCATTCTGGATTTATTCTACTAGTACCGGGATGAGAAAATTCCTCTCTGCCTGGGGTTCTAGGGTAAGCCCTATTACAGAATCAGAAACCCTGGCACCCCCTTGCAGTGGGGGAGCTAGCACAGGCTTGTGCTGAGGGCTTGGGGGAGGGGGACTGATGTTAGTGTGATGTGTGATCTGTTGAAGCTCTGATGGAACCCAACTCTGCGGTGGGTGAGTATTACTTTACAGGGCTGGGTGCCATGTTTATTCACTCCTGTTCACTTCCCAACCAAGGGGGTGGGGTGAGAAGTCTTTGCTAAACATCGGCTGGTTTTTTTCCACCCATGACCTGGGACTTTGTGCCCCGGTCGACTCCATCTTTCCACCACCACCCCACTCGCAAGCCCTGCATCCCATGATCCATTGCCAACCTAAGATTCCAGGTGCAGAGCTCCCCCCAGTGGCTGCCGGTCTGTTGCTGGCCCGTTTCTGCCCCGTGCCTGGCTGTTGACCCATCTCAGACCTGCTTTACCTCTCTTTGTTTATAGGCTATGGCTGCTGTTGAGTCATCACTGAAGTACATGAGGCAAGTCATCTCCCTCCCGCCCAGTCCCTCCGCCCAGCCCTCTCAGCCACCCCATTTTCTCTCTTTCTCTCCCCATTGTCCATCCTTGTGTCTCCATCCTGCACCCCCTTGTCTCTGCCCGGGCTCCCCATCCTCTGGTTAATTTGATTGGGGTCCTTGAGATCATGTGGGGAATGTGAGGAGACAGCAGGGGTCGTTTCGTAGAAAAAGAGCTAGGGGAACTCATTAGCATAACTCATTAGCATATGCCACACCCCCTGACATCACCGGAAGTGTGTCATAAGGCCACACACCCCGACATCACCGGAAGTGTGTCATAAGGCCACACACCCCGCCCCCAACGGTCCCGGCCGCCGCCGCCA